TCCCTGACATCCTGTGATTCTGTGACCTTTGTTAACGAGACTGCCCAGCATCACTTCTTTCTTTGGCACCGATTGTTGCTGGAGCTTCATCGTGGTTGACAAAAGTCACACCTTTGAGGTGCAGATGATGGCTGGTAGTTGTTGACATGACGAAGAGAACCTTCAAACATGAAATATCACTGTCTTGTCTCCCAAACATTTAAGACACTTTGCTTTTTTTGGAGGAGGAAACCATTCCTGTTTCTTTTTGTACTATTGATGCAGAAGTATGGGTGGGGGGGGTTAAAAAAAAACCAGTATGAATAAGAATCAGTTGTTGTCACTGCTTCTTTGGCAAATTTTGACATGATTTGTGTGAAAGCTCCATAAATAAGAAACCTGTCATCGATGCTTCATAACTCTCTGTCTCTTCTGGCGCGTGGTCATTTCATTTCCAAATTGTAGTATCAACCCTGTGAAAAGAATTCTTTGGAAAAACGCAGCCACCAGCCCTGGATTCAGTAATGGTCCAGGATTTTCTGCTGTCTTAAGAGTGCTCTCTCTTGTTGATTTGACCTCCACAGATGTCCTAGATCATATTTGGGTCTCAGTGGGCGTGTGGTTAAAAAAACAGATTGCTTTTTAATTTAATCCCTTTAATCAGCCAAGTAAAGTGGGTGCTCAGGAGTCTGGTGACAGAATCGGTTCAAAAAGATCTCCTGTTGCTGGGGTCCCTCCAACACCTCAAATTCTCCATCCTTTCCTTCCACCTTCAACCTTCCCCTCTCAATTCAACAGCAAAAATGCTGGTTTTTTTCAAACCTTCAAAATTAATCGAGGGCAGAAGGTTTGGTCAAAATAAAAGTGATGAATTTGAGGCAGTCTGGCCACAATATTACATTTTTTTCTGATGGGCAGCATCATTAGATCAATTAAAATCCCCACAAAACACTTCACATCTCTATTCCAAGCTGTTTATTTTCTTGTTGTCGACAACGTTGTTGGGAATTATTGCCAATCTCACAAAATAACGGTTTTTGTCAGAAATTTTGTAAGCAGATTTCACAGTTGAGTTTTCACTTGGTACTGGTTGACTGCAGATGTCAGGGGAAAACACTGGCATGGGTGATGCTTTCTAGATGTTGCTGCTAAACCAGTTAGGTTAGAGCTGTTGGTTTAAATCATTAAAAGTTAATTATTCTGTTAATTATTGATTTAATTAAAGTTAATTTCTTAGATTATTTAGTCAAAGTTTCAAAAGATTTATTCAAAGTTAATTATTGATCCTTTTGGAAAGATGGTGCTTGTGGGCCAAGGTCAAGGATATGCAAAGTCTGTGATGTTAGAAATGTCGTAGAAAATAGATGTATGTTTTCAGCTCCAAAAAAATTCATTTCATGGGATTGTGTCTAAACCCCACAGTTTCAGCAGCTTTTACAGGTACCAGGGCGTTATCTCCTGACAAAAATCAAATGTACACGGCAGGGTTTTTGGAGAAAAGACTGATGGGTGCTTATGGTGACATAACATTTCTTTAAGAATTAAAAAGAAGACCAAAACCACCCAAAAGAACAGCCAAGTCAAAGGTTTGTGCATCCCCAGAGGTTTGAGAATCTCCTGGCAGACACCAGGATGATGCGAGGGCTGGAGCAGCTCTGCTGTGAGGACAGGCTGAGAGAGTTGGGGATGTTCAGCCTGGATCTCTCTGGGAAGATCTTCTAGTGGCCTCCCAGTACCTGAAGAGGCTACAAGAAAGCTGGGGAAGGACTTTTCATAAGGGCAGTTAATGCCAAAACAAGGGGAAATGGGTTTAAGCTGAAAGAGGGGAGGTTTAGATGAGATATTAGGAAGAAGTTCTTCACTGTGAGGGTGGTGAGACCCTGGAACAGGTTGCCCAAGGAAGTTGTGGCTGCTCCTCCCTGGAAGTGTTGAAGGCCAGGTTGGATGAGGCTTTGAGCAACCTGGTCTAGTGGAAGGTGTCCCTGCTGCTGGCAGGGGGGTTGGGACTGGATGAGCTTTGAGGTCCCTTCCAACCCAAACCAGTCTGGGATTCTATGATTCTATGATTGTATGGTCCATAGTCCCATGGATGACTACTTGGAAAAGACTGTATGACAAGTGATTAGTCCTCACCACCTTTGTGAAGAGAAGGTGGCCACCTTCCCACCCACTATAAATGGATGTAGTATCACTGACTCCTCTGCAACAAAGCTACTTTACTCCAGTGAGGAATCTGAGCCAAACACAGGGAGAGCTGGTCTGCAAGGAGATACTGGAATTCATAGAGTCATGACTGGTGTCTGTGGGAATTTGGAACATGGCATGTAGCTCTTCTTTTAGGATCCTTCTCATCTGGTGGTTTAGTACCAATGCTCCTTTCTGCTAAAGGAATATGTGGAATTGACACAATAATCTCAGTTTTAGGGTTACATCAAGCGGAATTGACACAATAATCTCAATTTTAGGGTTACATCAAGCCAAGGAGGTAAAACAGTCTCAATTTTAGGGTTGCATCAAGGCAAGGAGGTAAAACAGTCTCAATTTTAGGGTTGCATCAAGACAAGGAAGTAAAACAATATCAATTTTAGGGTTCCATCAAGGCAAGGAGGTAAAAGAGTCTCAATTTTAGGGTTGCATCAAGACAAGGAAGTCAAACAGTCTCAATTTTAGGGTTGCATCAAAGCAAGGAGGTAAAACAATATCAATTTTAGGGTTGCATCAAGGCAAGGAAGTCAAACAATCTCGATTTTAGGGTTGTATCAAGGCAAGGAAGTCAAATAATCTCGATTTTAGGGTTGCATCAAGGCAAGGAAGTCAAACAATCTCAATTTTAGGGTTGCATCAAGACAAGGAAGTCAAACAATCTCAATTTTAGGGTTGCATCAAGGCAAGGAAGTCAAACAATCTCAATTTTAGGGTTGCATCAAGACAAGGAAGTCAAACAATCTCAATTTTAGGGTTCCATCGAGGCAAGGAAGTAAAACAGTCTCAATTTTAGGGTTGCATCAAAGCAAGGAGGTAAAACAATATCAATTTTAGGGTTGCATCAAGGCAAGGAAGTCAAACAATATTGATTTTAGGGTTGCATCAAGGCAAGGAGGTAAAAGAGTCTCAATTTTAGGGTTGCATCAAGACAAGGAAGTCAAACAGTCTCAATTTTAGGGTTGCATCAAGACAAGGAAGTCAAATAATCTCAATTTTAGGGTTGCATCAAGACAAGGAAGTCAAACAATCTCAATTTTAGGGTTGCATCAAGACAAGGAAGTCAAACAATCTCAATTTTAGGGTTGCATCAAGACAAGGAAGTCCGTATGTGCTGTTCTTGGGCTAGAGAAGCTGCCACTTTATATGCCAGGCCATGTGTATACACCACAGTATATGCAAGTCCATCTGCTTTGAGTTCTTACCGGTTGCCTGATTACGAGACACTGAGCTTCACGGGGCTGTGAGAAGATGGAAATGAGGTTAAATCTGTGGCCCAAAGGTTTGAATATGTCTTTTTTAACTTGATCTTCAAAAAGTGCTTCCTGTGGATGTCAAATTACTAAAATACATTTAAAAGTGTTGAATTTTATCCTTTTCTGCCCTTTGAGTCCTTAAGTAGGTTGCTTCAGTTCCTTTCTGTTTTTTGAAAGGCTGAGCATATTCCACTCTGCGTAGGATACGGTTATGCCCTTTTATGCTGAAATACTGTGGAAATTTAAGATAATGCAGATGCAAAGAGTAGATCAAGTGTGACTTCTCCTCTGGCCGTTGGTAAGTGCGTGCACTTTAGTCCGTGTTTGTTTGAAACAAGGTGAAGATGTTCTGGTTGCAGCAGTCTGTGTCTTCCATCCCCTAGATTGTTGCTGCTTGGTCCAGTTGCCATCCTTATCTTCTGCATTGTTGGTCTCCTCACAGTGGCATTGATAGTCAAAAGAGCTCTCCTTAGGCTCGATCAACTTGTTTACTGTACTCATTTTCTCTTCCAGGATGATTCCAGCTGCTAGTAAATCCTTCTTCTTGACTGATCTGGTTGCAGGACGTGAGTACGACCTCTGTGTTCTTGCTGTTTATGATGATGGATTGACATCTTTGACCGCAACCCGAGTGATCGGATGCGTGCAGTTCACAACCCAGGAAGAATACAAACAGTGCCGATCCCTTCACGCCCAGTTTCTTGGAGGAACCATGATCATCATTATTGGGGGTATCATTGTGGCTTCAGTTCTTGTTTTCATTTTCATCCTCCTCATGAAATATAAAGTCTACAACAACCACCACAAAAATAAAACTACTAAAGTTAATAATGTCTGCTCTCAAACCAATGGAAGCCAAAGTGGCTCGATGGCTCGATCCACTTCGAAACTTTCAGAGAGACGGGAAAGTTTGCACCAGGAATGCTCGGGCTCTTCCATCAAAGGAAAAACTGTGGTAGATTTGGATTGTGAAAAAGTGACTCCAACCAACACAACCTTTTTAACAACCGATGCGTTATCTTAGTGGCCATCGGATGGAACAGGACACACCAAGGTGGTATTGCTTGAAACATTTTAATGCGAGTGGTTGTATTTTAAGCTTCACTACTATTGTCTATTTTTAAGATCAGATGGTTTAAAAAATATTTTTTTAATCTGTATACAGTTCTTGCATTCTTAACTATTTTGTTTCAATATATTAAATATAAGTGTGTGATTTACAAGATTTTTTTACTGGTTCTTTTCTAGCATACACCTCTGATATCAAGGCAGCAGCATAGCTAAATTCTACTAGGTTTGTCTTTGGTGAAATGCACTGTTTTTTTTTTCCTTTTGTTACCAACCAGCAGCAAAATTGTATTCTCAGGATCCTCAGACTTTCCTCTCTCACGGCAGAGTCACTTAAGCAGCTTAAACTACTCATCTCTTCAAGGAATGATTTGTTATAATAAAGTTACGAGCTTCTCCATACCGAGTTATATTTTTTTGCCACAGGTATGTTGTATTCATGCTGCTCACAAAAGAGGTAAAATTAGCAGAGGTTCCCCACAGGGGGAAGAAAAAGAAAAAAAAAGATACTCTTCAAAAAAAAAAAAAAACAAAGGAGAAAGAAAATTGAAAGTACTTTAAGTACTTCATTTCTCACAATTTTTCAGTGGCACAGAAAGACAAACACGTCTCGTTTGCTTTGTAACAGCCGTTCTCTGTTGTGACTGCCTTTGAGAAACCTCCTCTTGTTCTTGGCAGTCAGATTCTACCTTTGTTTGGGCAGGAAGAAGACCTGGGTTTTGTTCTAAATTGGAAAACTTCCCCAATCAGTTGAATCTAGATGTGTTTCACTGTGCCCGTTTTTGCTATGCTGAAAACCCCGCCGTGGTCTCCCCCTCTGAAAATGTACTGTTGAAGGTTATTTATTTATTTATCTATTTATTTTGTTGGTAAATTTGTTGGTTGAGAACCCACAGATTAAAGCTTCCATGTGGTGAGCCACATTGCACTATCTCACTGTGACACCACATCTTCAGATGACTTTGATATCAGGCTTTTATTTGTGTAATAATGCATGGTGTGTAATGTAAGTGGCTGACAGATGAATTATGTGCATGTGTCTGGTCAAGTCATTTTAATGCATCATATTGGATAACAAAAGGTTCCCTTTGTTTCGAGGGATTCTGTCAGCTCGAGGTGAACCCAAAGTTTAGGTTTTGAAATAGCTTTTTACAAAGCTTATGAGGAGCTGGTGACCTCAACTCAAGAAAATGTCTCCTCTGCAATCTTCCTTGGTTGGTGATTTTTTTTGATCCTTGGCTTTGAAAGCCAAAACAAGAGAAAATGTGAAATACTTTTTAGTTATTAAACCTCAAGAAATAATGGAATAGGAAAAAAATTGCCAGAAGAGGCTTGCAAGCCAAGTGACTGGCTTGTGTCTTTTCAGGTTATTGCGTCACAACTTGTCAGTTAACGGAAAGAAAAGTATTGTTTCCTAAGATTGTCCTTTTAACAGACTCAGAATATTTCTCCTGTTTGGAATAGGAGAAGAATGGACCAAAAAATAGTTACCTATTGGCAGCCAAAAAGCTGTTTAACCACACAGCAATTAAGTACTATCTTTTAATATCATTAATCTTCCTAATTGCCAAAATATGAGGCATTTGTTGATGTTTCTCTGGTGCGCAGATCCGCTGAGGTCTCTGTTTCAATTCTTGGATACAAATGGAGGAAGAAATAATTTAAAGGGGTTCTGTTATCAGGGATATTTGTGCCAGTGAAGTAAGACTCTGCAGACACACTCATGGGAGTTTTATTTTAAAAAAACAACCCAAAAAAAGCTCTATGTGCAACTGTGCAAATGGATGCTTCTTGTTACGTAGATGATGGTGCTTTCTGGATTTTCCTCTGGCTTCTGCCTGCCTTCCAGCCATGCAGACTCATCCCTGGCATTCCTAAGGTGCTACCACCTGAACCCACCGATGGTCACTGAAATGCTCTGGTAATCCCCACCACTTCCAGAGAGTGAAATAATTCATCTTTGGTCAGACACAAAATTGAATGGTGGAATTTGAACATGGTTTTTCTTCATTACTGCAGCCTGATTGCTATGAGTATCACGAGTGGTTCAACCCACCTGTAGATTAAATCTGTTTATTGGTACTATCCTGCCATTCTCTGGCAGTAGCAATTTCTGTCATGCCCTTTGATTTGGTTCCTATTTGTTGAATATGAAAATGCTGCATTGCTGAGCGGTATCAGGTGGGGTTCAGGGATTATAGCTGCAAAATGCTGTATTTTGACACTTCATATAGCATTTATGTACCTGACATGGGTATCATAGCATCTAACCTACCTCTTTTGTTGGCTCTTGGATCACAGGCAGAGACATCATGTTCATTGTAGTGGTTTTAACTCGGCTGGCAGCCAAACACCACACAGTTCCTTGCTCACGTTCCCCAGCCTGGGAAATGGGGGAGAGAATCAGAAGGGTTAAAAATGAAAAAAAATGTGTGGGTTGAGGTAAAACTAATTTAATAATTGAAATAAAATACTAATGACAATAATAATGGTAATAACAGTAATAATGAAATATACAAATGAGCGATGCACAGTGCAATTCCTCACCACGCACCGACTGATGCCCAGCCTGGTCCCAGGTAGCGATCCCGGAGCAGAGACCATCCCGAAACGAAACTGCAATCCCAGAAAGAGAGAAGGAAAGCATTCTGGTCAACCCTCATTTAAATACTGAACATCACATCATTATATGATATAGAATATCCTATGGGCATATCTAACTGCCAGTTTGGGTCTGCTAATCTTATTGTGCCTCCCCAGTCTCTTCTGGACCTGCAGACAAGCAAAATACGAGGAGGTTGGAAAGTCTTTGGTTTTTCTTAGTAACAACTAAAACCATCAGTATGTTATCAACATTTTTTCTCATACAAAATCCCACCCTGAATCCAAAACGCAGAGCTATATTAGCTACTAAGAAGAAAATTAACCGAAACCAGGACATAATCCATTCTGTAACTGCTGTTCTGTCTTGTTCTCAGGTTGTCCATCTTAGAAGAGTGTCAAACCAGTATGAGCTGCGCTAGCATCATGTTTGCCTGCAGGCAATAGGATTTAAGTATTTTGCTCTTGGAAATGGAATTGGAGTTTGGTGTGTTTCTCCAGATTGTTTTCAGAGATTGAGGTTATTGGAGAATGACTCTTAACTCCTGATATCTTTGTAACAG